GTTTGATTCTTGGTCAGGGCACATGCCCGGGTTGTGGGCTTGATCCCAAGCGTGGGGCATGCAGGAGGAAGCAGATCAATAATTCTCATCATTGATGATTCTATCTCTCTCCCTCTCCCTTTCTCTCTAAAATCAATAAAATATATTTTTAGAAAGGAATGAGAATGGGAAAGGTGATAAAAAAAAATCACTAAATACACAAAGGAATGGGAGGAGCCAGGGCTAGACACAAGTGGCAGCAGTTAATCATAGAAATGAGTATGAACATTATGATGAGGAAGGGTGGCAATCCAGGCGCCAGGAGGGGCAGAACACAGAGTGACTTGTTTTGGGTTTACAAATTGACGGATTTCCAGGAAAACAACTGACAGATGACCTAGACCTAGACACATTCTCCTGGATTGAAACTATTCACAAAACCCTATTTCTACTTGACCATCAAAGGTCTGATTCAAACACCTAGAAGTGTTTTTTAACATCTGATTCCTGGACCAACATCACCTGGGAGCTTGTTAGAAGGCAAATTACCACTGAAGCAGAAATGCTAGGGGTGGAGTTCAGCAATCTGTGTTTTAATAAGCCCTACAGATGATTCCAATCCAAGCTCAAATTTGAGAACCAACCCCTCAAGCTGGCTTGGCTCAGAGTGCCAGCATTACTTGGAAGTGGACTGCTGCTGCCCTTAGAGCAGCGGTTCTCAACCTGTGGGTCGCGAACCCTTTGAGGGTCGAACCACCCTTTCACAGGGGTCGCCTAAGACCATCTGAAAACACATATATAATTACATATTGTTTTGTGATTAATCACTATGCTTTAATTATGTTCAATTTGTAACAATGAAAATACATCCTGCATATCAGATATTTACATTACGATTCATAACAGTAGCAAAATTACAGTTATGAGGTAGCAACAAAAATAATTTTATGGTTGGGGGTCACCACAACATGAGGAACTATATTAAAGGGTCGTGGCATTAGGAAGGTTGAGAACCACTGGCTTAAGGGGTAGAGGTCCAATGTTCTGGTAGGGATGAGTGCCCCCTCCTGGAGTTGTCCCTCAGGACCCTGGGCAATGGTCTGTCCACTGTGACAGAGATGAATCCAGATTAAAGATAGTTGCTTAGAGCCAGGGTAAGGGCAACATGTTTATCTTTGTTAACAAATGGTGGTGGTGGCAGGTGCATGGATGGATCTGTTATAAGTTAACATAAAAGTAGAATGAAGCTGGAATAAAGGTTGTAAACACTTGATTTGCCAGTCCTTTCTCCATCACAGGCCAAGGAGAATTTCAGAGTTTTACAGAGCTGGAAGCAACTCTAGAAATGCGCTTGTTCAGTCCCATATTTTACAGGGGGCGTGGTGACCACAGAATGTATACACCCTCTGAGATGCCTAGGGGGTGGATCCGAGGTGGAAAGAGGTGGTAGTGACCCAGACTGGTCTGCAGGGCATAGGAAGAACTACACCTGGGATCTGATCTAATTCAGTTCCACCCAAAACTTACTGAGTTCCTCCTGTGTTCCTGCTGTTGTGACTTTGGAGTGAACCAGACAGACGCTGGCCCTCTGCCTTCCTGGAGCTCACAGTCTGGGGAGGCGGCCTGATTTTGCGTTACCTGCAAGCCAAGTGTAGGTTGGTATAGGGAATGTGCATGTGTGTGTGTTGGAGGTTACTACTTAACTAGGGTGTGTGTGTGTGTGTGTGTGTGTGTGTGTGTGTGTGGCGGGGGCGGGGGGGGGGGGAGGCAGTCAGGGAAAGGCCTCCTGGAGAAAGTCTGATGCTGAGTAGAAGTCTGACAAAGTGGAGCCCAATGAATGGAGCTTCTGATTCTGGGCCAGGAGATCCAGGGAGCCAGTGCCTGCACAGGTGCACAGTATAAATGTTGAGTGAATGAATAACTGACTGAACCAGGAGGAAAAGGGTTCCAAGCAAAGGCACATGGTGAAGCCTGGTGTGGAGAGAGTGAGATGTTAAAGAAATCCAGGTGAAGTAGCTCTGGCTGGAGCCTGGGTGGTCAAGGGGAAGTGCGGGAAGGTGGGTCCAGAAAAGTAAAAGGTGCAGTGACTGGGAGAACCTCGTGCCCGAGGGAGCCACTGAGAGGGTTGAAGCAGGCATCCAACGGGCCGTGGGACTTTTAAATGGACAGAAGCTGGCAGTCAAATGGGACCTGGAGAACAGGGCCAGATCCTTTCGGTGTCCATGTTGCCATGGTGCCTGACTCCTCAAACATCCTTCCTTGATGGAGGCATTGATCTGTTTAGGATTTTTTTCTGGGCCATTTCCTTTCAAGCTGGCTATGGAGTTGGGCCCTTTATACTGTCTTGACCTGGGATGCCTTGAGTGGTGTTCAGACCTGAGCTGGGGTAGGAGAGAAAGCCAGAGACTCAGAGAGGACTCCTCCTGGCTAGGCTGTGCCTCTGTGCATGGTGAGTGAGGAGGGTCCCTGCCTGAGAATGCCTACAGGCTAATGATAAGCAAGTCTGAGGTGGGCCTTCTTACACCTAGAGTTTTAATACTTCTTGAACCAAGAACCAAATAGCCAGGAGAGAATCAACCAATGTGTTAGTTTTAGTGCTTGCATCTGGCTTTGTTGTAGCAGTGGTGATGAGGTACCAAACACATAAGAAACTGATGAACGTACTAAGATCTATTCTGGTCTTTAAAGAAGGGAGACGAAACGCAGCTGTGCGGGCATTGGGGGCTGTGGAATATCCAGTGGCTCCGGCTGTGCCCTGAGACTCTTTGCCTTTGCCTCCTGGTGCTGTGGTCCCACAACGCCAGGTCCTTTCCGAATAGGCCCACCTCTACTGAGCTTCGGCACTCCCTCCACAGCCAGATGCTGGCCAGCGTGCCTCCCTGTCTCTCTGGACTTCCGTGTTTTGGATGCTGGTTCTGGCTTTCCAAGCAGAGACACCTCATCTGTAATGACTGGAGGAGCCAGGCCAAGACCCTGACCCCTTGGACTTGAAGAATAGCCATTGTTGTCCTCCATGCGCTTAGGCCCAGCCCAGGAGATGTTCAGAATCAAAGCCAGTGTTGATTCCAATAACTTTGGGTTTATTCAACCATGCTGGGGGTAGGTGTACGGTTTTGAAACATAATGAACTGAATGAAAATAATTAATTGTAAATGAATTATGTGAAAATAATTAAATACCTTTCTTGTGTGTAGACTTTTCCCCATAATGTGTAAGTGTTGGGGAAACCACCCTTTTGCTGACACCCTCTGAATATCATCACTGCTTCACTCCCGGGCCCTACTCCTGGGCCTGCCTGCAACTTAGGATCCTGACCCTTCGTCCTGCCCTTTCTGCTGCTCTCCTCCCTATTCCTCCTGACCTGGATGCAGGGGGTCAGTAGGCCGTGGGCCTTTGTCCTGTTCCTCTCTATTCCTGGTCTGTGAGTAGGCTGCCTCCTGCACCCTGACACGTGCTGTCATGTGCAGTATGTGAGGGTGTCACTGACGTGTGAAGATGGGTAGCTTTGTCAGGTGCAAGAAAGGGTTTTCAAATGCCCTCCCTCCTGTCTTGTTATGTATTTATTTTATATGTCTATGTCTTTTACAAATAAAATTTTATTGGAAATGTCTATATAAAATGAGGAAGAGTAGAGCTGCCCCAGTTTAGTCTGAAATCGGAACTTTTAGCCCTGCCCAGCCGATCGAGGCCTCCCTTCCCCCACCCTCACTCTGATCCCACCATGTGTCCAGGCCAGGGTCTCCCAGCTGTGGCACAGTTTCCTTATGGTCCTACTGGGCCTCTTAGTAGCTCACAACCCAGAGGGTCTTCCCAGAAGTTGGGTGGGGCCAACATGAAGCAGATGCCATTGTTCCTCACCTGGTTTAGGGTAGCTTGATTGCCTGGGTCTTTCCTTCCTTGCCAGAGACCTTCTTGTGGGTTCACTCAGTCATTTCCTGGGCCCAGAGATCTTTGAGGGTCTCATGGAAAAGAGAATGGTGTGATGGCCCTTAGGATCCATGTCCACCCCTCTGCACCCCTGTATTGCAGGGACAGGAGGGCTACACGTTTCCAGATTCCCTTGCTGCCGTAACTAAGATTCTCATAGTGAGATATGTTTGTGAGACTGGAGGGCTGAGGGGGCAGAAGAGCTTTCTCTTCAGTGGTGGTGGCAGTTATGAGCAGGTTCCAGCAGAGCCAAGTTTGCGCGGGGACCAAGCTCTATACCCCACTGTTTAGTCAGCTGCTCACAGGCCTGGTGTACTTGTGAGTTGTAAGGTTTCCTGCCGCTTTCTGACCTTGGATTGCAGCTGCTGGGGTGCCTAGTGTCAACCCCCTGACTTCAGCAGCTGCAGCCCTTCCCAAAGCTTAGTGAGCACCTGTTCCTGCTTGAAACACCAAGAGCAGCTTCTGACTTCTGCACTGAACTCTGAGGAGTAGAAGTGGCGCTCCCTGCTGCTCTGTGACTTCTTCGCTTTGATAGGAATGGGCATGAGGGAGAGGAGGTAAATGGGAGGACTGGATCACTACGACTGACCCAGTTCTTCCACCTGGTGGCACCTGGACAGTGTTCACAGGTTCACCCTAAAGCGGAAGGGAAAATTCCTGGGCACTGGGCAGGGCCACCTGCGCTTCGGTGAAAGCACAGGCTCTTCCAAGGGTTGTAATATAGCCACGGGGAGTGCGGGAACCGGCGCCCTGGGCCAGGATCTTATCATCCTGCTCATTTGCTTCCAGTTGTCATGGTCACAGCATCAACCTCCCATGATGAAGGCTCTGAGCCTTTGTCTGGCCTAGAAATCTGGTCTTCATCATCCCCCGGGGCCATGTGACTGAAGTGCATACCAGGCCTTTCATATTTGTGTGATGAGGAAGGGAGCCTGTGTGGGTAAGGAAGTGCTGAGTTCTGGCTGCCCGCAGGGGCAGGAAGTGGTGTCCCCCAGGTCACTAAGGGGCAGTTTCCTGGATCTCATTTGGGGAAGGGGGAGTAAGTTGAAGAGGTGGGAACTGAACCCACTGTTTTCACATCAAAGCTTGAATTACCAACAGAAAGAAAAACTCAAACACTTTATTTTAGATTATAAGAGAAGTAAAAAGCCACACTTACTACCATTAAATCAGATCAGAAGTAATGCTGTTTTGCTAACATATAAATTACGCAGACTCTTCCCTGCAAAGAGCCCTGGCCTGCTTCCTTTTCAGCGCCGAGCGGCCCCTTTCACTCATTCAGCTGGCAGAGCAAAGCCGAGCCCTTGGCAATCCAGTAATCTTTGGACCTCTGGGAGGGTAAAAGGATGGTCACCACAAAGTTGGTTGAATGACCTAGTTAAGGACACAGGAGAAAGCGTGGTCATTACTTCAAGACTAATCCCTCAATACAAACAGTACGGCACTAGGAGTCAAGGTAACTGGGTTTTCCAGAGTCTGGATTTTGTTGACAGCATCCCTGTGGTGATTTTATTCACCGTTTAAAAAATATTTTTATTGACTTCAGAGAGGAAGGGAGAGGGAGAGAGAGACACATCAATGATGAGAATCATTGATCGGCTGCCTCCTGCATGCCCCACACTGGGGTTAGAGCCTACAACCTGGGCATGTACCTGACCGGGAATTGAACCCTGACCTCCTGGCTCATAGGTCGACACTCAACCACTAAGCTACGCTGGCCGGCCAGGCATCTCCTAGCTTCTTCTTCTTATTATTCTTTTTTAAAATATATTTTTATTGATTTCAGAGAGGAACAGAGAGGGAGAGAGAGATAGAAACATCAATGATGACAGAGAATCATTGATTGGCTGCCTCCTGCATGCCCCCTACTGAGGATCGAGCCCACAATCCTGGGCATGTGCCCTTCACCAGAATTGAACCTGGGACTCTTTGGTCCGCAGGCTGATGTTCTATCCACTGAGGCAAACCAGCTGGGGCTCCTAGCTTCTTAATACTTTTTAGATTTATAATAGGAGTGGGAGATCATGCAGGTGATAGGAGTGTCTATTTTAGTTCTATTCTGTATGTTACCCTTAGAGAACATACTTTAACTGAATATTTTATTAGAAAAATAAGTATCAGTATCTATATTCTCTATTCAAAAGGGAAGCATTTTTTTTAGTTCTTTCTGCCCTGCTTCATCTCCCATATTTCTATCATTTGGTAATTTAGTTATAAATTATTATTAAAATCATTTTTATGGTCAAGCTTTGAAAGATTTAAGTGTGTGTATGTGTGTGTGTTAAATAGAGAGCCAGTGGTTATTAATTTAGAGCCTTTGTATGTCTAAGATTGTCTTTATCACACTTTCTCTTTTGGATGATAATTTGCTTGTATTTCCAATTTTGGTTCAAAGTTGTATTGTCTCCGGCCTTTGAAGATGTGTCTCTATTATCTTTTTATATGCATTGTGGATCATGAGAGTTGTCTATCAATCTGATTCTCTGGAATTTTAATTTCAGCATGTTAATATGTTTTACCACTTTGCTCTGAGGATTTTACCTCTGATAGTCTTTTTAAAAAATATGTTTTTATTAATTTCAGAGAGAAGAAAGGAGAGGGAGGGAGAGAGAGAGAGAGAGAGAGAGAGAGAGAGAGAGAGAGAGAGAGAGAGAAATATCAATGATAAGAGAGAATCATTGATCAGCTGCCTCTAGCACGCCTCCTACTGGGGATCTAGCCTGCAATCCTGGCATGTGCCCTGACCTGGAATCGAACAGTGAGCTCCTGGTTCATAGGTGAACACTCAACCACTGAGTACACCGGCCGGACATCTCTGATAGTCTTAAGTATCACTCTGATATACCTAGGTTACTTTTAAAAATTTGATTATTTGTTTATTTATGTTTTAAAAAATTATCCCTAACAGACTTTGTGAGATCTCTTAATATGAGATCGCAAGTGTTTCTTCTTTTCTGGGCAATGATTGGCCATTATTTTTAAAAATATTATCACTCTTCATTTTCTCTACTTTCTCCCAGATTGCCCACTAGATCAATGTTGGGAATTTCGGCTTTTCCCACAGTGTTCCTTTTTTAAAAAAATTGCATTGTGAATTTTGAGGGATTTCCTCAGCTCATCCTCCTTGCTTACCCTTCACTGTCTCCATTCAGTTCTTCAGCTTATCTGTTCAGAGGGCTCTCTTTCTGTCTGGTTCCTTTCTTCAGGGCCGTATCTCAGTTTCAGGTCTACTCAGATTTCCATTTTTGAAGCCTGACATTCCACTTAATAATTTATTTTAAAATCTCTTTGATGAGTCTCAGTGGATTTGGTGAGAGATTTTAGTGTCGACTGACGCCATCATTGAAAAATTAGAAGTCACTGCTCAATCAACTATCTTCTACTCGTTAGACTAATAGAAGCAATCATCGGTTTTTAAAATATCCAGCCATACTCCATATTAAAATAAACAGAGTTTACAGCATTTGTAAACTTGTATAAGTGGGCCTCATTTTAAGCCTAGCTAGTTGGACCAAGGGAGAGCTTAGTGTTTGGGCTTCGACTGTAGTTTGCATTTGGTCATTATTAGTACCAGGGTCAGAGCATCCTTACCTGTGGTTGAGAGTGTTCCTGCCCGGGCCCCTGTTTTATAAAGTGGGGACTGATAAAGTGTTGGGCTTGGGTCGTAATTTTGTTGAGGTTCAAAATGCACCACAGGCAGCACTGGGTTCATCTCTCCGGGCAACGCATCTTCTATCACCAACTCCTCATCGTCCCACCGGAAAGCATCCATGAACATCCCATGAACGAGAACACCATCCTCAGGAGAGGGCAACTGAAACACACCCAGAAGTTTACAGGTGAGAAGAGGAGAAGGCGGTCAGTAGCTGTGGCCCCACATCCTCCTCAGTTAATTCTGAGAACCAGATTGCTGCTGTTCCTCATATTCTCGAGAGGAGAATACTGTCGAGAGGCTCCGACAGGTAAAATAACTTGCTTTTTTAGCTTGACACCAAACCGCATACTCCATCAACATGTCTAATAGGCGACACCCCTGGGAAACCCTTCATGTGCTTCAGAATAGCGATCATGATGTTAAGACTTTTCCCTGCTCATGGGAAGCAGATGGGATAAGAGGGCTGTGATGACCATCAGTTATTTGTCAGCAAGGTCTTTCAAGGCTATGGGAGCAGATCTGAGTAGAGTGGATGCTGATAGAACTTCCCAGGAACAGTTCCTACTAATACCATGATATTTTAAGGCAGGTTTAGTTAGCAAAAGCCATTCACCCCAACTCCACTGATGGGTTAGTGCCGTGGTCGGCAAACTGCGGCTCGCGAGCCACATGCAGCTTTTTGGCCCCTTGAGGGTGGCTCTTCCTAAGCCTTAGGAGTATCCTAATTAAGTTAATAACAATGTACCTACCTATATACTTTAAGTTAAAAAAATTTGGCTCTCAAAAGAAATGTCAATCGTTGTACTGTTGATATTTGGCTCTGTTGACTAATGAGTTTGCCGACCACTGGGTTAGTGGATACGTTATTGGCAAGAGCAATCTGGAGCAAACTTTTGATTTCATGACACATATAAGGCCGAGTCAGAGGCTTTGAGTCAGAAGCTCCCTTTCCCCATAAACATCTCCGTGCCTCTACGCAGGGTAGCTCAGCTTGGCAGCGTTGGTTCACACCCCTGGTTGTATACAGGAATCACCAGGGGAGCTTTATAAAACAACGGTGCCCAATGTGTTGGGGTGATCCTGATCTGAGATGAGACTTGGGTATCAGAACAAAGCGCTACAGGTGATTTTAACCTGCAGTCAAGGTTGAGAATCACTAACATGCTAGAGCCGTGGTTCTCAAAGGTTAGCGGGCTAAGACCCCCATGGAGGACATGTTAAAATATACAGATTTCTGAGTCAGTGGGCCTGGAAGGAGTCCTTGGAGTTTGCATTTCTAATAAGTTCCCAGGCGATGCTGCTGCTGCTGCTCTGGGAACCCCACTTTGAGAGCCTCTGCTCGGGAGGTTGTAAACTGTGTGAGCAAAGAGTTTAAACAGCCCTTCGCGAATGCCTATTCGTGTTAGGGGCAGAAATCGAATATAGGGGACTAGCTGTTACAAGAAATAAAGGAAGAAATATTCATCATGCTCTGTTACCATGACTGTTTTGCTCTGATTAGAGAAAGCGCATTCTAACCTGGCTGGGAGTTGTATGCCCTGGGACATGGGCGCTAACATCAGAATGCAGTCCATCCTCCTGTCCTGAGAATTGCCTATCATCATGGTAAGATTTACAACCTCGTGGCTGAAACAATCTAGTCCTGGAGGCATCTGCTCTTTACAACCCCCAGCCCCTATTGCCTGTTATCTGGTCCCGGGGCACCCAGAGGCACCTGCCCTCTGTGATGTCCCTTCCTCCCCCCCTCTACCCCCCCACCCCCCCACCGGCCCCAGCCTGCAGACTTGTAACCTGTAATGATTATATCGTGCCGACTTTCCCATGCCTGTCATTCCTACTTTCCCACGTAATCTTTGTCTTTCCATCCAATATGGCTTATGGGGAGGGCAGAGCAGATTTTTGTGAATGACCTGCTGCTCTCCCATACTGCCGGCATTATTGGAATAAACGCTCCTCATATATGATTCAACGCTGTCTCTGCTTAATTGGCTGAAGTAGTGACAGGCAGCCTGGACCTCTTGTAACAGGCAGTTCTTCAATTACTTATATAATGTATGAAACTAGTGTATCACTTCTGCTAAGAGACAGCTGGATGAATGATGCAGATAATTCATCTTATGGTGATAGTTATTGTGTGGGTCACATGACATCTGCAGTTTTGTTTACATTGCATGACAATTCTGAAGATGGTGGCATCAGCCCCATTTTACAGATGCAAACACTGAGGTGCAGATATGATAGTAATGGCTTTAGCACACACAGCTGGAGAGGGTGTGGGAACCATGCCAGGGTTCCCGGACAGTCATGGACAATGGGAGTGACAGGCCTTGTTGTCAATATACCTATGTGTGCAGGAGAGGCTAGAGAGCTCAGACGGAGCTGACAGCTGATACTGCTACCAATCAAGGCTAAGAGCTCATAGAGAGCTCAGATATAGCCACCATGTTAACCAGCCCGTGTGCTGGGCAGGGGAGCTCAGGTACCGCTACGATGTGAGGTGGTGAGTCTAGGGGGCAGCGTGCGGCTGCTCAGATAATAACTGTGGGTACAGAGACTGATGCTGCTTCATGGGAAAGATTCATATTCACTAGCCGGTGTCTGGCTGCCTGTCTGTATGGACTTTGCTATAAAGGACTGTCTTGTCTGATGATTTATGGCCACTGGCTTCTGCAATAAAGACTCATTCTTATACACCCACAACCTCTCATGGCTTCTCGGTCTAAGACCTGGTGTCCAAGGAGGTCCAGTCCCAGGCAGAGGAGCTCAGACCCAACACCTGTAACTAGTGAGCAGAGGATAAAGGAGGAACTTGGACTAAGTTCCCAACAGTTAGAACAGTGGGCAGAGCTCAAGAAGGGACCAGCCCTGGCATAGTCGGGAAGAATTGAGAAGAATATATGGACCTGGAACAACTCAGTGCCAAGCAGTGCTCTTGTTGGCCCTGACAGAGGGGAAGAGTCAGAATTTAAATTTAGGCCTGCCTGATTCTGAAACTCCTGCTTTTGACCTCTTGATATATTTTCTCCACAAGAAGAAAGTTACTGTAGGTATCTGTGATATTGTGATTTATAAAAAAAAATATATGTTTGGTCATTCAGATAAGCAAAATTATATATATATTTGGTCTTCCTCCATGGTTCTTTCTTTACTTTTTTTAATCCTCATCTGAGAATCTTTTTTCCATTGATTTTTTGAAAGAGTAGAAGGGAGGAAAGAGAGATAGGGAAAGAGAGAGATAGAGAGAAACATCAATTAGCTCCCTCCCACAGGTGCTCCTCCTGGGGCTGAGGAACCTGCAACCGAGGTACATGCCCTTGACTGGGAATCGAACCCGTGACTCTAACCACTGAGCAACCAGCCAGGGCCTTCTGTGGCTTTGACTCACAGCTCCCGAAATCCTTGGAATTTCCTGAATGTTGAAAGTGATAGCGGTGTCTTTCGTTATGTTAATGAGATGGGTCTGGGCAGCACCTAAAGATGGGGGCTGGAGCTCTCAGTGTATCCCCCCACAGCACCTCTAGGGAGGGAGACTGAGTTCAGTCACCGATAGCCAGTGATCCAATCAACCATGACTATGTAATGAAGCCTCCACAAACCCCCACAGGACTGGGTTCGGAGAGCTTCAGGGTGGACAGGTGGAGATGTGGGGAGAGTGGCACACTTGGTGGGCATAGACGCTCTGTGCCCTTCCCCTATACCTTACCCTAGGCATCGCTTCCATCTCGCTGTTCTGAGTTATATCCTTCTAACCAGTAACTAGTTAAGTAAAAAGTTTCGCCTGGCCGGTGTGGCTCAGTGGTTGAGCGTAGACCCATGCACCAAGAGGTTGCTGGTTTGATTCCCTATAAGGGCACACACCCAGTTTGCAGGCTTGATCCGCAGTTGGGGGTGTGCAAGAGGCAGCCAATCGATGTTTCTCTCTCATCGATGTTTCTATCTCTCTCTCCCTTCCTCTCTCTCTAAAAATCAATAAAAACATATTAAAAATAACATTTCTCTGAGTTCTTTGAGCCACTCTAGCAAATTGATTGAAGCCCAGGATGGAGCCATGGGAACCTCTGACATATAGCCAGTGGGTCAGAAGCACAGGTGACAATGTGGGCTTGAAACTGGCATTTGAAACGGGGTTGGTGGGGAGCAATCTTGTAGGACTGAACTCTTAACCTGTGGGGTCAGATGCTATCTCTGGGTAGCGTCAGAATTGAGCTGAATTGTAGGTCTCCCAGCTGGTGTTTGAGAACTGCTTGCTGGTGTAGGCACCACCTCTACCTCCTCCCCCTGCCCCACATTGGGTTCAGATCTAGTCACTGCTAATTGGGGAGCTCGATTTGGGGGGTGTGAGCCCCATCCTGCCCCTTCTGCTCTCACATATGGGAGGCAGGAGAGGCAGGGGAGGTTGGCAGAGATACTGAATGACAGTGGGACAGATGCTGCTTTGCTATCACAACAGTCAGGGAGACAATACCTGCAGGTCCATGGGTAGTTCTTCTCCAAACTTCACCGTCTTGGCAGCTTCTATAACTGCGGCTTGATCCCGATAGACAGGAATTACGTTGTACTTGAAACTCAGCTCATCTATAGGCAAATTGTATTTCCGAGCATGATTTTGAAGAGTTCCTGTAAATAGAAAGAATCAGAAAAATGGCTCCTCTGACCAAGATCACTGCTGTCCAAACACAGCCCCCACTTGCCCCCAACCAGGCTGCTCTAGCATTAGAGAGCTTCCTCTCCATGGAGAAGGGGCAACCATTGGCACCTTATCTGAATTAGTTCCCGGAGACAGGAAGCCTGTGGGTGATGCTGGGAGGGGCGGGGCCAACACGTGTATTGTGGTCATGGCTGGGAAGAGAGGGAAGGAGGCTTAGTCTGAAGTGCACTGCTCTGCCTTGGAGGGAGACCAACCAGTGAGGGAGTTCCAGAACCCGGTCTCCCCAACTTGACAGTCCTGTTCAGCTGTCTTGTATGGGCTGTTTACTGGGGATTCAGGAAGAGAGAGAAAAAGGGCTCAGCTAATTAGCATCTAGCAGCCAAGTGGCCCTGGCCCACTCTGGGGCCCTCTAGCAGGAATCCCTGAAATAACACCCCTCCGCCCCCTGGGCTGAGGAAAGGACATCAAGAGTATTTTTTAGTCAGCTATAATGAAAAAATAAAATTGTTCTTAAAAGAGTTTTAGAGGGAGGGAAGCTGCTTAGACTTGGAGTCGGAGCAGCTGGAGGGCGGGTGGTGCCCTGGAGCATGGGTTGCACGGGGATCTGGGGCTCATTGTGTGTGTCCACAGGGGCAGCGGTGTTTGCATTATCCGACAAGGGCAGGGGTTAGGGAACATCTGCTGTTTCTGTCATCCCTGGCAAGCCAGGAAGAGCTGGGCCTCATTGGACTTCCCTATAAGTCAACAGCCTCATGGTGAGGCCAGTTTCGGTCATGCCATCTTGCCCATCTTAGAGGCCCGGGCCAGAGCACACCATGCCTTCCGGGCAGGGGGGGAGGGGGTCTGTGGGGAAAGCACTCGTACCTGTTAGAAATCCTTGAGGGAAGAAGAACCCGGAGATCCAGAAGGACTTAGGCTGCCCTCGTTTGAGCCACAGCTGAAGGAGACACATTACACCAAAATGTACTGTTTTCCTGAGACGGAGTTTGTCATTTAAATCAAAGTCAGATTCTGGAGGGCCTCTCAGGAGGCAGAATCTAAAGCAGTCCTGGGTGAGTCGCCAGCCCCATCCTGACCGCCTGCCCTGGCCCTGCCCTCACCCCGCAGGCTGACCACAAACCCAGAACCTGGTTATTACAGAGGGTGGACAAGAGGGAGATGGTAGCAAGGCCACACTGGGGTTCGGGCCCATTTCAGGTTGGTTCTGTACCTCACAGTGGTGTCCCGTGAACGAAATGTGAATCTCTAAGGATGGCATGGAATTAAAATGGGATGTTGGGATAAGGGCCTGGGGCAAACTCCATTACAATGAGCAGGACATGTCTAAAGTGATGCCATTCTGAGAGGATCTGTTTCCTTGGGCTGAGATGATTCCTCAAGGGTTGTCGATATGTTAGTTAGGGCTCCCTACGGACCTTAGGGCCAACTGCGTCACTAGATTTATCAAATCCCACAGAAGAGCATTTTCTTACGTCCACAAATGCGGTCCTCAGAATAAGGTCTTTGACCCATGATCCTAGTGGTTTCAGGGACGGGTAGGCTGTGTTGGACCACAGTGAGGGAACTTGGTTGTTGAGGAAACTGTTATACACCTTTTCCATTTCTTCAGACATCACCACAAATCCAGCAATGGCTTTGTTGAGTGTTTCTAGAGAAGTCTAAGAGAACAAGAAAGGGTTGATGCCCTGCACAGATGTAATTAGTGGGAAATGCACCCATTGGTGGTGGCAGGTGTTGCCGGCTGATAGGCCCTCTTGCTGGGTTCCATACTCTCTGCATACTGTCTGGTGGGTCAGACCCTCCCATCCTCCTTGCATCTTTACAACATGCAGCCATGGGGTTTAAAATAATGGGGTGGGGGCAGTTCCTGCAGTTAGTAGCAGAATCCAATGAAGTGGGAAGAAGAGAGGAAGAGAAATGTCCCCAGCAGCCAAAAGAAATGGTTTGGAACAATGCCACTGGAAGATTTAGTATGTGTCAGGTACCAGGGAAACAGAGATGGCTAATATGCCAGTCCCTTTTTCTTTAAGAAAGTCATTTTCCATTGGGAAAGCCTTACTCATGGAGGGGGGATTACAAAACAATGTGGTAATTAGAGGGACAGACACAGAACCAGAAATGATGGCCCCTGAGGAAGGGTTCCTAATTCATGGGATGTTGGAGGGGAGGGCTGGTGTCCAGGAAGCGTTTATGGAGGAAGTGATGCTTAGGCTTGTCTGTCTTCAAGTGGGGGATGTGGAAGAGACAAGGGACGAGCAGCACCCATCTCCTCTTCTTCCTTTGAACACCAGTCCTCCCCACTCCCTAGTTTTAACCGGGCAGAGAGCAATCCACCCAGAGGCTCTATTTCTTTCTTTTTTTTTTTTTAAAAAATATATTTTATTGATTTTTTACAGAGAGGAAGGGAGAAGGATAGAGAGTAAGAAACATCGATGAGAGAGAAACATCGATCAGCTGCCTCCTGCACACCGCCCACTGGGGATGTGCCCACAACCAAGGTACATGCCCTTGACCGGAATCGAACCTGGGACCTTTCAGTCTGCAGGCCGACGCTCTGTTCACTGAGCCAAACCAGTTAGGGCGAGGTTCTATTTCTTAGCCAGGCTTGCAGCTGGGGTGTGGCCATGTGACCATTTTGGCTAATGGATACAAGAGGAAATGATGCATGCAACTTCTGGATCTCATTTTTATGAGGAAGCTGCTTTTCCTCAGCTCTCTTCGCCCCCCAGTGACTAGCAAAAGGGGACAGTGGGAGCAGCCACCTCAGACCCAGAAGTGGCAGCTACCTGTTAAGGCTGGAAGATCCAAACCTCTCTCTGGGATCCCTGGATGAGCTCAGAAAGCAAGACCAACTACCTGCCCTAGACAGGGCTCCCTCTGGGCAGGTAGCTGAGAGACAAGTGAATTTCTATCTTGTTTTGGTTGCTATATTTGGGGATCTTTATCACAGCAGCTTAATCTGTATCCTGATTCATTCAAGACAGAAGGTAACTGGCCCTGAGCTGGGGACCTGGCCTGCTGACACTGGCGTATACCTGCCTCGATGCCATAGTCCCAAGGTGAGGACTTCCTGTATTCAGCTGCCGCTGTGTACCCCTGATCCATGAGGCTAGGCATTGCCAGCCAACCAGCAACATTCAGAGACTTTGCTTTCCTAGGAGGGGACAGATGGCCTTTGGCTTTAAAAGATTTACTCCATCTGTCCTCCCCAATCTTATCACTGAGCTTTGACTCTGTGGTAGGTATTTGGTTCCCTGCTTGGTGGTAAAACTTTTCCTGTTATTGTTCTATATTTGGTCTCTAATAGCTTTTGTGTTTCCCTTATCAATGTTATACACGTAGAAACCAGGAAGGTGTTTAGCCATCATGACACAGTCAAGACCATGTAGCGAGAACATATTCCTGAGCATAAGGCAAAAGACCAAAGAGTTGCTCTCAAGTTTTAGTTGCAGTGAAATCATTTGGGGGAGTTTTCTTTTAAAAAAGTCCATCTTCCCAGGAATTTCCAGAAATTCTCTCTCAGGGCTGGAGTGGGATCAGGAGTTACATTTTGAACCTGCAGCAGAGTGGATTTTACTGCAGGTGTTTTGTGACCCACACTTTGAGAAATGCTGGTTTTCACAGTCCTCATAAATGCAGTCTTATTCAATGCAAACTAGACATCAGGAACGAGAACTATATCTCTAATGCTTTAGTTCTCTAAAGTGGTCTCCGATCACATTTCTGATCTGTCAATGGTAATTCTAAGGGTGTAAGGATAATGAGGAGATAGAGGATTCGTAATGTCCCATATACACCAAGCCATTATCAGAGAGGGAACGTGGCCTTGTTTGGGAAGTGTAAATTCAATTTTAAACAAGTTGGGTTTGAAGAATTGTTAGCATATTCAAATGGAAATGTTGAAGTGATGGGAAGGGAAGGCTCTAAGCACACTCATGTTATTATATAATTCTCTACACAGCTTTGATACCCCACAGCAATGATGGCAGTGAGCACCCATACGTGGATTAATTTCAGCAGATTGTTAAACCGGTCCACTTCTTGTCCAAGAACAGTGGTCAAGGAGTTAAGGCGTCCTTGAGGATCTTTGGTGAAAAGGCTCTCAGAAGCATTCTCCATTTCTAGTATTTCTGAAACATAGAGAATCAATTCCTCAGATCGATTATCACTAATTTCTGTCCTCATATCATTGCGGTTGTAATTTACTTGTCTTAGCCTTTCTTTCTTTCTTTCTTTTTAAAAAAAAATATATTTTATTGATTTTTTACAGAGAGGAAGGGAGAGGGATAGAGAGTTAGAAACATCGATCAGCTGCCTCCTGCACACCCACTACTGGAGATGTGCCCACAACCAAGGTACATGCCCTTGACTGGAATCGAACCTGGGACCCTTCAGTCTGCAGGCCGTCGCTCTGCTCTATCCACTGAGCCAAACCGGTTAGGGCTCTTAACCTTTTTTGAAGCCAACTTCTCCTGCGCCTGGGCCTAGGCTGAATGGGAGGCAGGCCATGCAGTCGTCGGTGGCAAATGCTAGCAGGACAAACAGCTACCGGGTAGATCCGAGACATCCCTGAGAACAGAGGTGCCAGGGGCCCTGAGTCTCCTTTGCCTTGAAGGTTCATAAGCCCAACTCTTCCCAGCACACCTGTGTGGCATATGGGAGAGGAGGGTTGGCAGTGAGAGATCGAGAGATGAGAGAGAATTTGCATTTATGCCACGTTACTGAGCATAATTCAAAGGGACTGACTGAATTATGAAACAGGCCCTTGGTTCAAGCTGGATCAGAAATTTTGTTCTTCTTTTCCCCTACAATCCAGCAAGTGGAGGCTCATATAAACTCCAAAAATATGAAGGAAGTGTATTTCCTTGCATATCTGAATAAAGTGTGGGTAAATGAGTGGCTCTGAAACACACCTATCAAATTCCTTCCTAACCAGTCACATTTTGGCTGCTGTAAAAGATCACAAGCAGCGTGGGCCAGTCCAATCTTTTGGGTCCACATGCCCTTCGTCTTCTCCTTCTATCATTTTGTTATCATCATAATTAGCTAGTTTAAAAAAATATAGATATTTTTATTGATTTCAGAGAGGCAGGAGGAGAGAGAGAGATAGAAACATCGATGATGAGAGAGAGAAAATCATTGTTAGGCTGCCTCCTGCTGCTCCCCACTGGGATAGACCCTGCAACCTGGGCATGTGCTCTGACTAGGAATCCAACCGTGACCTCCTGGTTCATAGGTCAACGCTCAACCACTGAGCCACGCCAGCCAGGCTTAGCTAGTTTGTAATATTAGCAACAGAAAGAGAGCAAAGGGGTGGCCAGACATTATAAGTATGGTCCTCTGGGCAGCTTCACCGGGAAGCTGCAACTTGATTCTCCCCAGGGAGAATGGTCCATTCCCCGCAAGTCACTGGGGGAGGGGTCAAACAAAGGGGGAGTTGGATGCATGAAATGAAGTTGGGGTGACTTAGGGAAGGTGTTTACCTGTCAGTCTGTCCTGGGAAAAAGATAATTGGCTGGGGGTGGAGCACTGCAAGTGCAGTGAAATCTTGGAAGATTAAAATCCCCAGACAAAGAATTCTCTCTGCCTAGCCTTGTTCCTACTCCCTTGCACTCCCTTGCTACGTGACTCGCACTTGCCCTCATGCTAGCCTACTATGTGGCCTAAAGCAGCCACATGGCCATGGGCTACAGCTGGGAACGCAAGCTAAGCTGGTCACATGCTGGACTGAACTGTGCTTTGATGTGGAGGGGAAACGCTGGGCCGAGGCTTTAATCCTAGCCCTGCTGAAGACTAGACTGGACTTCTTCCATAGTGAGACAGAGGAAGATGGGACCTGGGAAGGAAGCCCCCTTAATTTTACCTCATCAATAAAGCTCGCCACAATAACTCCTGTGGGAGCCTCGGGAATTCTTTTGCCCATAGCACCCCAAGAACTCCACTTCCACTGGTAACAGGTAGGGACACAGAGGGCACCTCACTGGTAACAGTTTGCCTCAGGTGTTCCAAACCCTCAGTTCTCTTGTTGAGCCAATTGCATCCCTGCCCCGTTCTCAGCAGATGGCATCACTTGTTTCACAGTAAAAGTATAAGCTTTATGAAGCCTGGAGAGAAAACCTCCTAGGTGTCAGTGGAACTCTGAGACAAATACACTTTATCTTCATCCTTCCATCCATCCATCCATCTTCATCCCATTTCACCTAGTCCTCCATTTTAGACTTATTAAAAATTGCTTTCTAAAATAACTGACTCAGTTTGCTTCAACATCAACAGGACTCTGCTCAAGAAGAGATTCTTTTGAGGCCTGTTTTAGGAGGCAAATAACTGGTTTATGAGGTCACACTGACCCCTTTTTTTCTGGGGCACTTGGCAAGACTCAATCTGTGATACTGTAATATAACAAGAATATACATATTTTGGTCTTCATCTCTAGCTCCTGACCAGATCTCCTAAGACCCTTGAAATTTCATAAGTGAGAAAAACAACAGGGGCATCACTGTTCATAACATTTGGTTTTTGACTTTGGCTCCTGAAACAGCTTGAGTGATAAAGGTAAAAACAGCATCTCTTGTTATTCATAACAAGCCCCCTTCAACCACATCTAGCTTATGTTAATGAGTTGACTTTTAGGAACCCAAAGCATGGGGAAGCTGGTTGTCAGCAGAACCAGCCCTGTGATTAGTGGCTTGGAACTTTCAGCTTCATTCTCTGACCTCCTGGGAGAGGAGAGGGGCTGGGGGCTGATGATTTAATCAACCAACCATGCTTACGATATGAAGCCTCCATAAAAGCCCAACCAAAATGCTCTGGAGAGCCTTTTTTTCTGAGCTTTCTAATGTCTCTAGATTTGTGCTGCGCAAAAAAGTAGCCGCTAGCCACATGTAGCTACTTAAACTTAAAATTAAATTTAAAATTCCTTTTCTCAGTGGCATAGTGGCATTTCAAGTGCCCCCATCTATACTAATAAAAGACAAAGATGCTAATTGACTGTACCATCGCTACTCCCAAGCCACGCCCACCAGCCAATCAGAGAGACTATATGCAAATTAACCCAACCAAGATGGTGGCCGGCAGCCACGGAGCTGGAGCAAGCAGGAAGCTTGGTTGCCCCAGCGATGGAGGAAGCCAAGCTTCCCGCCTGCTCTGGCCGGCTGTGGCCTCTGCAAAAGGCAACAAAGTTTTAATTATAGAAGCTAAATAAATTCCAGATACCTGCTTTCAGCCAGCTTCCACTGGGAGCTTGCATGGCTGGGGGCTGTGGCCAGCCTGCAAACAGCCATCAGCCTCTCACCTAGGATGGCCACACCCCAGCGGGACCCCCACCCTGATCCTGGACACCCTTCAGGGCAAACCAGCCGGCCCCCACCCATGCACCAGGCCGCTATCCTATATAAAAGGGTAATATGCAGCCCTAACCGGTTTGGCTCAGTGGATAGAGCATCAGCCTGCGGACTCAAGGGTCCCAGGTTCGATTCTGGTCAAGGGCACGTACCTTGGTTGCGGGCACATCCCCAGTAGGGAGTGTGCAGGAGGCAGCTGATCGATGTTTCTCTCTCATCAATGTTTCTAACTCTCTATCCCTCTTCCTTCCTCTCTGTAAAAAATCAATAAAATAGATTAAAAAAAAAGGGTAATATGCAAATTGACCCTAACAGCAGAACGACTGGGAATCACTGGTCACTATGACACACACACTGACCACCACGGGGCAGATGCTTAATGCAGGAGCTGCCCCCTGGTGGTCAGTGTGCTCCCACAGGGGGAGCTCTGCTCAGCCACAAGCCAGGCTGATGGCTGCCAGTACAGCGGTGGTGGTGGGAGCCTCTCCTGCCTCCTCAGCAGCGCTAAGGATGTCCGACTGCAGCTAGGCCTGCTCCCCGCTGGCAAATGGACATCCCCTGAGGGCTCTTGGGCTGCCAGAGGGATGTCTGACTGCCAGCTTAGGCCCAACCCCTTGGGGAGCGGGCCTAAGCCAGCAGGTGGTCATTCCCCGAGGGGTCCCAGACTGTGAGAGGGCACAGGCTGGGCTGGGGGACCCTCTGAGTGCACAAATTTTTGTGCACTGGGCCTCTAGTATTGGATAATAAAGATAATTTCCATTATCATAAAAGATTCTATTGGACAGCCCTGCTCTAGAATCCATGTCATTTTTCTTCTCCATTCAAGAGAAATAGCTGAATTAATCTGGGCTGGTGGACACATCCATGTGCCAGGACGGTGGTGCACCCTGATTCCTCGGGGACAGAGCTCCTGCCCAAGGACCTCTTCATCTGGCTCTTTATCGTTCTCCTTCATGATAGCCTTTCAAATGAACTGTAAAGGCAATTGTTTTCCTAGTCCTGTGAGCTGTTCTACAAATTACTGAACCCAAGAAGGGGCTGGGGTTGTGGGAACCCTTGATTTGTAGCTGGTTGGTCAGAAGTACAGATCGCAACCTGGGACTTGCAAGCGGCATCTACAGTTGGGGAGCAGTCTTGTTGTGGGACTGAGCCTTTAATCTGTGGGGTCTGTGCTCACTCTGGACAGTTAATGTCATAATTAAATTGTAGGGAAACCCAGTTGGTGTCCAGAGAGTTGGAGAACTGTTTAATGTGAGGGAACGATCCACACATTGGTGTGAGAATTACTGTGAGTAGAGTGAGAAACACAGTTTACTCTTATAGTTATTGTTTTATTTTCTGCTTAAATTTGTTTCCCTATAATTACATCTCTTCCAACCATGAGCAATAGATTAATAAATCTACACCTGCAGTGTTAAAGTGGTTCTCTCTGATCATTTAGGAAGATTCCTTAACTCACCAGAAAACAAGGTGAAATTAATTCAGCTATTTATCTTGAGTGGAGAAGAAAAGTGACATGGATTCTAGAGCAGGGCTGTCCAATGGAACCTTTTATGATCATGGAAATGATCTTTATTATCTAATATGGGGGCACTTGAAATGATATTGATGCCACCAAGAAAAGAAATTTTAAGTTTAATTTTAAGTTTAAGTAGTTACATGTGGCTAGCGGCTACTTTCTTGGACGGCACAGCTCTAGAGACATTAGGAAGCTCAGAAAAAAGTCTGAAAGTTACAGTGGCTAGAAACCAACTTGCTCCTTATGCTTCTGGCAGTTGAGGTGCTGTAGGCCTCTAGTCTATGAATGGACTGTGCCACATCACAAGAGCTTTCTATGTAAAGACAAGTCTGCACAATAAGCAATTTGGATACCTGCTATCACTCAGCTCTCTTGAGTTTACTCCTAAAAGTTCCATTATATACAGTTGCCAGAGATTATTTCTTACCTGGAACTCTGCTCCGTATAGAAGTAACAAGTTCTTGGACAATTTCATCATTGCTCTTTCCCTCTCCTCCAGAAGATGACCTTGGCTGAACTTCAAGTATGGTGTTGATTAAAGTGGTGGTCTCTTTGTACTGTAATGGTGGGAAGAGACAGAACAGTGAAGACTTCAATTCTCAACACATAATTTTGTAGCACCTATAGTTCACTTATTGAAATAATGGTGGTTATAAACAAAACAAGGAATAATTATATTTTATGTTGAAGATAGAGTTGGTAAAATATGCTCATTGGAAATGCACAGTACATTGTTGTCAGTGTTATGATTAAAATATTTTGGTTGGACAACAATGTGAATTTCTTAATGCCACTGAACCGTATACTTAAAAATGGCTAAAAGGATACATTTTAGGCCCTGGCTGGTTTTGCTTAGTGATTAGAGCATCAACCCCATGGCCCAAAGGGTCGTGGGTTTGAATCCCAGCCAAGGGCGTATACCTTGGTTGCAGGTTCATCCCTGACCAGATGTGGGAGGCAACCAATCGATGTGTCTCTCACGTGATGTTTCTCTCTCTCCCTCTCCTCTCTTTCCCTTCCCCTCTCTCTCTTAAAAGAAAAATTAAGAAAAAACAGCCTTAGGTGAAGATTAAAAAAATAAAATAAAATGATAAATTTATGCTGTATATATTTTACCACAATAAAATGGTTAATTTTTTTAGCTAATAATTTAAAAGGCAGTTATGAAAGTAAGGAAGAAATAATGAGAACTGAGTTTTAGAACATGCTTTTCTAATTGAGAAAATGTTATTTAAATAAAAGTATTATGGCTTACTATGGAAAACTTGAAAACACAGAAAAGTACAGGGAAAAAATTTTCATGATCCTGCTTTTCAGAGATATTTATAACTTTGGTTTACTGCCCCCTCCCGCTTCCCATCTTGGACATTGTCTCTATATGTGTGCATATGGTTAAAAAAATTGAACCCATATAATTTATGTAGTATTCTTTTTCAATTTCATGAACATTCTTTCAAACATTACTATTGACATATTCCTTAGATTCTAAACACATATACAAAGTCACTTACTTAATGCTATAGTTAAATAGTTTGGTTTCCTTGCTCATTGCCAGTCATTTAATACCATGAATTTTCTATTTTAGTTCTTAACTCCTTGGTTGAATGGAAGAGTCTTGAAACATTTAGTGCAGCCAGTCTGGTATCACTTCCTATGATGGTAACTGAATTAGAGACTTCTGGTGAGCAACCATTCCCAGTTCGCTTCTCCTCTAGGGTGTAGCAAAGATCACACTTTCTTGTACCCTTACAGAAAGATGGTTCATGTGACTATTATGCTAAATGAGATGTGAGTCAAAGTGACGGTGGACTCTGTAGGCTGAAGCAGTGAAAAGCCTATGCCTAATTCTTCCGTTTCTCTGTTCTCAGGCTGTGAACGAAGGGGCCATTTTTTTCTTCTTCTAGTGAATGTAGCTACGTACGTTATAAGAGTGCTTTTCTCAGATTGAGTCCCAGGATGATTATGTGAAGTACAACCCCTCTATCAATCTGCTATCATAGCTGTTGTACTAAATCACTGGGACTTGAGTAATTTTCTTACTGCAGCACAACTGACTTCATCCTGACTAATATAGTAGACCATTTATACTTTTTTTTGGCGGGGGTCGGGGGGGGGGTGGAGGGGGAGGGGTGGTTTTGAAGTGAGGTGGACCAGATGCTAACATGGCCTTTTTCTTATAATTGTAGTTCCAAACTAGTTCTAGAATATGTCCATGCATAGCTTCAGTTTTTTTAGTTTCCCTTTCAAAAAAGCAAAACACAATTGCTTCTGTTTCTTATTGTTTTGCTGTATCTTCTTGCATCATGGTCATCTCTCATCATTTCTATTTTTGGACATTTCAATCTCCATTCTGGAAAGCTTATTAAGTTCGTTCCCTACATCACATGTATGATAATCTATATTCCAGTTCTGGTCTTTAAGACTCCAAAGAAGTTTTTAATTCTGCTATGGTATTTTTAGCTTCCTTGAAATATTTCATTCTCACATCTCATGGCATCCTTGGTATATACACGCCAGCCTGTTCTCAAAGTTTGGCTTTCTCTTTCCTATAGGCTGGGTCTTGTACTTTATCCCAGATGCCAGAACATATTCTTTCTTTCCTGGTTTCTTCAGTAGATGAGTTGCAGAAGGTGAGCCTGTGTCTCCTAGATGGTGTTTTCTATCCCTTATCTTTCTGTATTGTTCTTCCCCGCCCCATTTATTCAGCCTCTGTTGTTTTTTTCTTTTTCTTTTTTTCAGCCTCTAATCAGAAAAGAGACACTAGATTTCCGTTTGCTCATAGACAATCTATGTAGATTGCCCTTGACTTATGCTCATTATTCTCTTTGGAGGCAAATTTCTTCATTGTATCTCCACTTGATATGCACAAGTCAAGGTTCGGTTTTCTTTTTGTTTTTTTAAAACTAGGTTCAATTTTCTTTACTAGTAAGAACCTGTAGTTTGCTGGGCTAAGGAAGGAATCATTTGTATCTTTTGTATTAAAATTCTATTGATGACAAGAAGCAGAATTAGCTAAACTAAATCAGCTAAAAGCAAAGAAAAGGAACCTGTTGGCTCACATAGCTGGGAAGAAAACACAAGTCATGTGGGTTTCAGGCATGAATAGATCCAGTGCTTTCTCTCCTGTGCATGCTTGGCTGTTTCTCTCATTCTTTCCTGTGACGGATGACCTTCTTTCACGTGAGAGGGGAGTGGGGAGGGTGCCAGGGGTAAGACCACAGGATACTTCAGATACACAGCATCTGGAGCTCCAGTGGCGCAATCGGTTAGCGCGCGGTACTTATACAGATACACAGCATCCTATCCAGGGATTCCAAGAGGAAAGAAAGAGCCCTCCCCCCATCCCAGCATCTATAGACACTATCTCCGGAAGGGACTCCCATCCACCTAGCATGGGCCATGTGCCTGTTCCTTGGACCAAGTCAGGTGGTGAGGTGATGGGGTGCTGCCTTCGCTAGGCCTGAGTGACATGCTCACCTCTGTGAAGGTGGTGGATAGTTAGAATTCTTACCAGAATTTTATAGATGAGGAAGGGGTGGGAATAGGACATGCATTGTACCAGAAAAATGGAGGGAGGGAGGCAGGACAGAAAAACATACTGGGGGCCCACTACCTGCCTGCTTTCTCGTTCTCAGTCATCCTGAACCAGCAGAAAACACAAAAGTTCTGTGCTCCCAGGCACACACTGCCAAGACTGTTGCTCCTACCCGCAGTGCTGTATCTCTCAGCACTTCCCTATACCATATCCACACCCCCTGCCCCTTCTCGCACCCTCCACACCCCACCCACTCCGGAGCAAATATCAGATATGAGTGCAAATGAACACCAGGTCTGCCTGCCTCTTTTTCCTGCTGGAAGCAGAATAAGGAGAAATAAGATAGACGATTCTAACTCCTCACCGACCAGCAAAGCGATTTTAAGGGTGGAGAACGTGACACCAGGTTTCAGAGCATTAACCTCTTGATGTTCTTTCTGGAGGTTCCACTGTTGTTTTGCATGGATTCCTCAGTATCTAGGCCAGGGATCCTCAAACTTTTTAAACAGGGGGCCAGTTCACTGTCCCTCAGACCGTTGGAGGGCCGGACTATAGTTTTTAAAAAAAACTATGAACAAATTCCTATGCACACTGCACATATCTTATTTTGAAGTAAAAAAACAAAACGGGAACAAATACAATATTTGTATTTGCATGTGGCCCGCGGGCCGTAGTTTGAGGACCCCTGATCTAGGCAAACCTCACCCTCTAACACTTGTAGGGGCACAATTGAAGTTACAAAGAAGGATGAATAGGAAAAAAAGAAAAAGAAAAAGAGAGGGAGGTGATTCCTTTTAGCCTTGGGAGGCCAGCCTCGTCTTCAACCTTTAAAGCATCGCAGGGCCCTCAGGGACATAGCTCATTTCACGGCTTTGGTTTAGCCGCAGACACCTGAGCATGACAGATGATGAAAGTGGGAAGGTCTGCAGTGGCCAGGTCATGGGGAGCCTTGAGTGCCCTGTGAGGAGCTTGGACTCCTCGTAGGTAATGGTGCGGCAGCAGGAGGTCTTACAGGAGTAAAATTGTCCATTGGACCTATTGCTGGGCTCTGGTACTGTGCCCTCGATGAGCTTTTAAAGTTCGGTGTTGTAATTGCTCGGCCTTGCCAATTTGTTATCATACTTTCATAATGTGATCATCTCACCTTGGAGATTTGTTACCATACTTTTATAATGTGATCACCATGCGTCTTTGGGTAATATGAAACAAATACGCCCAGTATATTCGGAGAGAGAAGGGTAAAAGAGAAAGGACTACCCAGATGATCATCTGAGTCCCCACGTTATGGTAGGCCAGCAGGTAGATTGTGGGGTTGGCAGAAGGCTGGAAGGTGGAAGGGGTGGCCAGCGACAGGAAAATGCATCATGATTTTAGGACTCTGTGAAGGATCCTGAGGGAACAGGCTAAAGTGGAACCAAAAGCTGAAGGTAAGGTGAAACATGTATTTTATTTGTTTATTTAGGGACATTAGAATTGACAGAGCTGGTGAGGTGATTACCGATGTTGCAAGTTGACATACACAATATGAATAGGCATTTTAAGTTGAAAGGCCACATACCTGGAAAACTAGGTTGGCATTTTCGTGCATTCCAAATATTTCTGGGTCATCTATCAAAGGTAGATTTTCAATGTAGTCTTTAAACTCTTGTAGGGTGTCAGCCAAGGGCGCAAAATAGATGCCTGTTATTGAAGACACAGGAAGGAAATGCCTCAGATAGGCTGGCTTTCGCCCGCTAAGTTCGGTAGTTCTCTGCCAGGCTCAGAGGCTGGCTGTCATCAGCGGCCTCCCATAGAAACAAGGACAGTTTTTCCCAAGCCTCCACGTCATGTCTAGTTTCTTCACCTTTTCTTGAGGCCCCCAAGTACCTGATTAGGGCCCTAACCTTTCAGGGTGTCTCGCCCAGAACATTTCACGATTCTCGAATTCAGGGAGGCGCTGCTGAAAGGTAAGCCTTGTTAAGGGCTCCAGATTTCTATAACGTTGAAAACGCATGTAGACAGAATACAACCCATTTTAGAAAAGAAACAATTCAAAGTGGTTAATGCCCAAAATATGGCCTTGTGCTGTTACAACCAAAGGAGTTTTGAAGGCAGTCACGCCTGGGGACAGGGTGGGCACCGGGACTGGGTTGTGAGGACTGGACACAGAGAACGCCTGCATGGAAAACGGAGAGATGCTGACAACACTTCTTAGGGAAGGTCTTTTCCACAGAACTGAAAAGTCACTCACCTGATTCGGAATATTTGTAACCCCTTTCTAATGTTTCAGGAGAAAAAAATCTTTTCAAGACTGTCCGAAGGCATCTTTGATCCCAGGTGTCTGTAACTCTACCACCATATGTAATTTCACCTGCAAAGCATTTGCATTTAAAAACATATTATAATACTGTTTCTTTTTAATGGATAGACATATGCCATTTCTAATACGTTGATTTACATACGCATTTATTTGGGACTGAAAGTGGAAATAGCACAAGAGTTTCCTTCCACTACCTCCCCAAAAGAGAATAAGTCAATTTTTAAAAAGCAGGAGAAAATCTAGTTCATGTACTCTGCCCTTATTATTTTGTGTTTTCCAAATAACAGAAACTAAAGCCACTGAGTTCTGTTTACATATTTCTTCCTTCTTCCTGTTTTTTTTTGTTTTGTTTTGTTTTGCTTCAAACTATTGATTTTTGGTCTCCCATCATCATTGACTGCAGTATTCTAAAACATACTTTATGTGAAACATTGCTTTTTTTGTGGGGGCGGGGGAGGAGAAATGAGTAAAATGGAATAAAACATTTACAACAAGGCATCCAAACCCAACTTACCTTACAGATTATTGATATTAAGCTAGGGAAGAAAGAGATTCAAGGGAAGGAGCCAACCTGTCTCACAAAAATTATGCTATGGGGAATTAAACTTATTGGTATCCCGTCTCTCTTTCCACAGAGAAGCTCCGTGCAGCGTGCTCCATTGCGATCGGCAAATTCCAAGCCTGCTCACATCACCATTTTGTTCAGCAATCTCGGCCCCACAGGAGTGGCTGGGGGCAGGGGTATAAATTAGCCTCTCAGACCCCAGGCCCACCCCTCTCACCCTTCTTGGTCTACCCTGAGGATAGGCCCTCATCCATTCTTACTGTTGCTTTGTTATCCATTGTTCCAAGGTTTCATTGGCTTTTCAAGGCTCTAGATCACCTGGTACCTCTCTGCTGTCCCACACGCCCCTTACTCACCAATGAAAACCATCCACTCCCACCCCATCCCCTTCCAGAGCTCTCCCTTCCCCCACTTCCCAGTGCAAATTTCTTCTTCATGATTTGGACCTACATGGTCCAAATTGGATCTAATTTTTGTCAGTAAGGTCCCTTGTGGCATAATTAATATCTGCTAGCAATTTTAATTCTTGACATTTTTCCCTTTTTCAAAAGTACACCTGACTCAAAAGGTCAATCAGTGTCCAGATTCTTTTGAATTTAAGAGCACTAACTCTGGAGGCTAGATTGTCTGGGTTAAATCTTGGCTCTACTGGTTGTAAATGGAGTGCCTCAGTTTTCTCACGTGTAAAATCTTACCTAATAATAGACAAACATGTAAATTAACCATTTCTCCGCCATGCTCACCAGCCAATCAGGAGAGTATGCAAATTAACCCAACAAAGATGGCAGTTAATTTGCATATGTAGGGGCAAAGCAGCGGAGCAAGGACTGAAGGCTCCATCCGGAGCTGGAGCGAAGGGCTGGGTCCCGGGTGCTGGAGGAAAACCGGTGCCGGCAGCCAGGGGAAGGGAAGGCCTATTGCACGAATCTCTTCATGCAACGGGCCTCTAGTAGGAATATAATAGTCCTTGCCTTACAGGGTTGTTGTGAGGATTAAATCTGCTAATTAGTGGGAAGTGCTTAGAATAATGCTCGGCATGTAGCAAGAGCAATGTAATTTTTTGCTATTATTATTGGAGGAAACATCTGTCCCACTTTTCTATGTGTCAATATTCTTATGATATTCTGATCCTGGTCTTCTCTTCGCAAAGGGAATATCAGAAGTCATCACCACCACGATCCAACACCATGGAGGTGGCCATCTTTGTATGGGCCAGGTGGGTGTGAACCAACTGTGTGAGGCACACAGCTTGGATGCCCTGGCCATGTGGGCGTACTGACCAGTAATATAGGTCAGTGCATCCCAGGGAATCCTTCCTTCTTGACAGTAAAGGTTGAGGTTCAGTAAAGCGCATTCTCTGTCGCTGTCGTTAAATTCATAGCAGATGTTCCAACCAAGAGGGCCAAACTTCTTTCTTTCCTAGAATGGAAAATGAAAACCGTCTGAAGTAAAAGTTGATAACATTAATTTTGTGAAAAATATTGAGAACAAAAAGGTTTCTATTGAAGTCGGGTGTCCTCATTCTGCAAAATCAGTTAAAATCATGCAGTTTAACTTCAGCTGGGCTTTCAGCTTGGCTTCCACCAAACAAGGAGGCACCTCTTCCTCCAGTACGGGCCCCTCCAACATTTCTAACAGAACATTTGATATTCCTGAAAAATGGGGCAGGCCTGTCAAAGAACATTTCTTCTTCACAATAAAACATTTCTCCATCCAAATAGGAAAAAGAATCCCACCTGGTGTCCTTTGGCATAAAAAACACTGACACTCACCTAGCTGGTGGAGAGAGCTCCCCCTACTGTTCTAAGGAGTGTGTCCACCATGCAGGCTCTTCAGTCAAGCCATGCTGTGCTGACTACATACTGACTTCTGTATAGAGACGTCTTTTTTTTTTTTATTGGTACACAGAATCATAATCCTTGTTTCATGACTTCTCATAATGAAATCTTTCCTTCTGTTTGTGTTCTATCCATCCCATCTTAATTTCATAATTCTAAACTGATGATTATACCAGAGGATTGGTCCTATATTCTCTTTGTTTCAAAATTTTTCTAAATCTTAAACCACTTCCTCATCTCAACTGCTTTCATTAGAACAAGGGCCTCACACCTAGAAACCCCAATCCTCTTGGATCTCCTGTAGGACCTTTTTTACTTATCCCATATCTTGCATCTACAATTTGCTTTTTTCTAGACTTGATTTTTTTCTCTATGGCCTACACACATTTGAAAAGCAGTCAGCCAGTTGAATCAAGACTCCATCTAGAGCTACATATTTGAAGAGTCAGAATTCAAGTACAAGCCACAGGATGGGTACCAGACCTGGACAGCAGTGAGGTTTGACCTGAAGGAAGGGGAAACTAGTGCTGATCTGAAGATCATCTTTCAGGGGACCTGGGACTCCAAGTCACTGGCAGGAAGCTGTGAAGGTTGTTATAGCCACTCAAACAGGAACAGGTGAGAGTAAAATTATTGCAAGAAAGATTAGGGCTTAATGACTGACATGATATATATGTGTCAAGAGGGAAGAACAAAAATAATCCTGAAATTTTGGTTGTAGGTGATTGACAGAAAGGAGGCACTGATATCAGAAGTAAAGTCTAGAGGGGAAGCAGATTTTGGGGAGTGAGGCATAGCTGAGGAGATCAGTTTTGTGCATTGGACCTGCTGCAATCGTCCAGGTGAAGGTGTTGAGAACAGAGCTGGGAGGCAAGGCTGTGAGATACCGAGACCAGGGAAGCACAGAGATCAATCAGCAACTGCGTTAGAACTCACTGGGCTCGGACACAGAACAGGACCTCGGCATTTCACGATGCCACTTGTAAGCTTTCATTTAATTCTTACTGTTTATTTATTTATGTTAACAAAATACATGTTCTTGTTTCTATTAAGAAGCAGAATTGAGTGTACCTGAACAATTGCATGGAAGAAACAAATGCCAAATATTATTTGTCTCCATTGTTGTCCAAGTATATTTTCTTCAAAATATGAAGGTGTCATTTCAGTAAATGCTCGTCTGATATTCGCACGTAAGCCTTTTGGAGGCTCATTGGTTACCTGGATTTAGATGAAACATTCATGTCAGAGAGAGTGACTTGAAAGATCTGCATGATTTCTGAGTAGCACATGTGGACTGAAGCCACTGAGAAAATGTAGATAACTCATGCCCGTGGGGTGTCCTGGCATGCTCGTGCCTGCTCTATGTCTTGCTGTGGTCCCGTCCTGGTGGGTCCTCACACCTACAGTGGGTAAACCACCTGCACAAGAACCTCAGACACTTCTATTTGGTGTCCACTTTTCTAAACAAGGCCTTCGGCATCGGCTTTTCTGTTCATCCCAACACATGGCATCGCCCCACACTTTGCCTTGATGACATGGGCAGGGAGGGAGGATCCCTGGGTGAACATCTGCAGAGGCTGCTCACATATTGGAAACTTTCAGCTCCGAAATCCAGCAGCCTGTAGGTCTTCCTGTCTCTCCAATGCTGAAGCATCCCTTTCACGCTGGGAGGGTTCCTATTCTCATCCCTGCATCCTTGACATGTTTTGCTAGAGGCTAAGATGGGACAACTTGAGCCGAAACCGGTTTGGCTCAGTGGATAGAGCGTCGGCCTGCGGACTGAAAGGTCCCAGGTTCGATTCCGGTCAAGGGCATGTACCTGGGTTGCGGGCACATCCCCAGTGGGGAGTGTGCAGGAGGCAGCTGATCGATGTTTCTCTCTCATCGATGTTTCTAACTCTCTTCTCTCTC